CTCAACCACAGATGAATGCTGAAATATTCTCGGGAATTTAAGGAAACAGGATCTAAAAACTCATTATCATCTTCATTTTCAGTGGCCTGAACAATATTAAAATGGTGGTTATCTTCCCATTTAATAATATCAAAGTTCTAGCCTAAGGCTAAATGTAACATAAGAGAAGCATCCCATATAATTTTAACAACATTAAGTTTTTAAATTTAGAAACTATTCTTGCACATTCCATAAAATATAAAACATATACAAAAAAACTCAAAACAAATAAAACACGTACAATCTCACAATCTTCTATTAACATTTTGGTATACTGCTTTTCTCTCTATACCCACTGTTGAAAAAATAGTTTAGTGGTCTGGATTTTCATGGCAAATTAATTATCAGCAGTTTCCATGTGATCAAAACTTTTTGTAAGCATTATCTTAAGGGCTGAAATATAAGAAATAATATTGACTAGAATGTATTGAGCACTTATTATAGGCCAGGCAGTGTGGTACCTGCTTTACACACATGATCTCACTTAATTCTCCTAACAGCCAAAAAAAGCTATTATTATTTCCATTTTACAATTGGAGAATCAAGACCTAGAAAGGTTAACTATCTTGCTTAAACTCCATCATATTTTGGCAGAGGTGAGATTCAAACCCGTGTGATCTTGAATTTAGAGTCCGCAGTTTTACTGTGTTACACTGTTGTGTGCTGCTCAAACACGTATTTCAATTGATTGGCCACCCTCATTATTACATTTTACAGTGGGGTGGCGAATGTTCAAAGCTACTGGAGGGAGGTGCATATGGAGCTTTATCCAGGGTAGAGTCCATCATAGACACTTGGGAACTTTAAAATCTTCTAGAACCCCCATTTGTCCTAGTAATTTCCTGCTGTGCATCTCTGACAGCTCCTCAAGTCCAACGAATCAGTAACACTTGCCATCCGGGGATTAGACTGTGGACAGGCAGGTGGGAAGTACAGGGAGAGAAGAGTGAAAGTACAGGGAGAAAGTACAGGGAGAAAGTACGCCTGCTGTGCATCTCTGACAGCTCCTCAAGTCCAACGAATCAGTAACACTTGCCATCCGGGGGCTAGACTGTGGACAGGCAGGTGGGAAGTACAGGGAGAGAAGAGTGAAAGTACAGGGAGAAAGTACAGGGAGAAAGTACGGGGAGAGACAAGGAATAAGAGTAAGCAGTGAACAGAGGCCCCAGGTAGGATGGTGATTAGAATGGGCTCATCAAGTACTCGAGGAGTATTTAGATTAGCAATACAGAAAAAAATGCCCATCAATATAACTTAATCTCACAATGCTTACATTTCCTGTTACTAATGAAAAGTCAAGTCACACAATCTAAAATCAGTGTTTCTCAATCTGGTCACTAATGATTGATATTTGGGGCCCGATAATTGTTGTGGGGGTCTGTCATGTACATTATAGGATGTTTAACAACGTCCCTGGCCTCTACCCAGTAGATACCAGTAGCACCCCATCTAGTTTTTACACCCAAAATGTCTCCAGACATTGCTGAATATTTCCTCGGAGGCAAAATCGCCCCTTGCTGACAACCATTGTTCTAAGTTAATTTTTAGAATTAGATTGCTTTTTAGCATTTTTATTGCTTTTAATACAGTAAGAAATGACTCTCTATGTAGGATCGTTAATTTTGCTAATTTGCAATGATGCTAGATATTAGCAATTTTATTAGTAATGCTTGATTAATGAGAAAGGATTCTGTGTGACAAATCTTTACATTTTAATCTTAAGCCCTGTATTGTTAAATTACTTGATCTTATCAAAGTGCAATCACAGAATTTATGACACCCATTGTCAAGTAGATTTGAGACCCTAAATATGGAAGAATCTAACTATGAGGAATCCAAAATAGGAAATAGCACAGGTGTCTTAATGGCAATGCTGAAGTAATAAACTCCAAGTGGGATGAACAAGTCTTGTGAAACAACTTTATTTGCTAGAGAGATAATTTCTAGACTAACATAACAATACATCTAGATAGGAAATTATTATATCCAATTCCATGAGTTCACAAATGAGATTACCAAATTAAGAAAAAAAAATTAAGGGACTTGCCTAAGCTATACCACTTAAATAGCATCAATAAGACTTACATGTGGATCTTTTTACTCTGAATTCAATGTTTTTTTCTACTTTACCCCTTTGCTTCATCTAAGTAATTCCTAGCACGCCAATAGTTACATAATAAGTATTGTAAGGATAAATGTTAAACTCATACATACAGAAGTTCCTGGAGGGATGGGATTCTCTGTTTCGTCTTGCACTACTTTCTTTTTAAAAAGTTCTGAATCCTGGAGAAGTTTCAGTGTTGAAAATACCATTGCAGCACTAAAATAGAGAATATTTTTTAAATGTTATTAGTATTTTATTTGTGGCATTTATTATTTTCTCTCTTCCTCCAACGACAAACATTCCCATACCCCCAAACACCCCCCAAACTATTAGGTGCCCCTTCTATATGCCCTAATAGCACCCTGATCTTAACCATACGGTAGTACAGTCAGTCAACCCTTGGTATCTACAGGAGATTGGTTCCAGGATACCGGTGGATATAAAATCTGAAGACATTCAAATCCCAGATGTAAAACGGTGTAGCATTTGCATATAACCTACATACATCCTCCTGTATACTTTAAATCATCTCTAGATTATTTTAATACCCAATATAATGCTATGTAAATAGCCGTATTATTTAGGGAATAATGACAAAAAAGTCTGTACAAGTTCAGTACAGAGGCAACCACCCACTTTTTTAAAATTATTTTGAGTCAGCAGTTGGTTGAATTCATGGATTTGGAACCCACAGATACGAATAGCTGACTGTACGTACCACATTATTTACTTGCCTGTGTATTGCTCTACAGCTAATTTGTCTATTCCCAGCATCTAGTATAGTGACTGGGATATAATGGAAACTAAAAAATATTTATAAATGAACATGAATGAATAGAAGAATAAACGAACAAAGGTTTCCAAAATCTAAAACAAAATTTATTGACAAGCTCATTAATAAAATGAGCACACACATATTTAGAATGTGGTTCTCCAGCTTTTTGAGGTTATAGAACTGTTACTAAACAGTATACACTTGGAAACTCTCAAGCTAAATTATTACTTAATCAGTGTCTAGCAGTGCCAGAAGGGAAATGTACGAAATTAAGAACACAGATGCCAGGGGATAAGAATTCTCTTTACTTCCTGTTGCTACCTACATAAACTTGTCTGCACTCTAAACCATTATATCCTCTTCTCCTGTAGACTGATAATTTATAATTGACATCAGACTGCCTCAAAATATTTTAATTGTATATACTAAGAGCTGCCTTCTCTTGAAAATCTGTCCCAAAATAAAATTCAAAATACAATACAATCTGTACACCTGAAGATGCTCATTATAGTTATTTATAACACAGAAAGATTGGGTAAAAGCCAAATGGACAATACACCCATCTAATTTCCCACTTGATATCATCACTTGAATAATTAACAGACAGTCACATTTAACAGGTGCAATGAGTTCAGTTTTGTCACCCACTAAAGGTATGTTGAAGTCCTAACACCTATATTTCAATGTGTGATCTTATTTGGAAATAGGTTCTTTACGGAGGAAATCAAGTTAAAATGAGGTCACTAGGGTGGGCCCTAATCCAATATGACAGGTGTTCCTATAAAAAGGGGAAATTCGGACAGAGACAGGATGCATGGAGGGGGAAGATGATGTGTAGACACACAGCGGGGAGAACAGCCATGTAACAGGAGTGATGCATCCACAAGCCAAGGAACACCAAAGATTGGGGGCAAACACCAGAAGCTAGAGGAGGGAAGGAAGGATTGTCCACCAGAGCTGTCAGACAGAGCATGGTCCTACCGACACCTTAATTTTGAACTTCTAGCTGCTGGGGCAGCCCTGGAAGACTAGTAACAACAGGTCAAAAGCAGCCTCCTCCACCCAAACCTGCTTCTCTTCCATGTCCTCTATCCCAGATGTAGAACCCAGTAGTCACCATTGCTTCCTCTCTCTGACGTGCACTTTATGTTCAATCCATCAGCAAGCCTGTCAGCTTCACCTTCAAAATGTGACTACCATCCAGCAGGCCTCCCCTCCTCCGCTGCTAACACCTTTGTCCACACCACCATCATCTCCAGGCTGGACCACTGCAGTCACTTCCAAACCAGTCTGCTGTCTCCCTTGCCCCTGCCACAGTGATCTCTTCAAGAGTAAATCAGATTTACAGATTTCAGAGGCCTCCTGCATCCCTGGACCATGGTCAGTTATCTCTTCCTCTGGGTCAGTTACTGAAGTTTCTGGTATTGCACACGGTCAGCTTCATCCATATCCACGGATGTTTGTAAGAAGGTATAGTCTAGGTTTGTGGCTCCCAGAGAATGCATATATGCTCAACTTTTTAAAAATATATTTTTAAAGTCTCTTTTGTGGGGGGTCAACTTGTTATACTAAAAACTGTAAATACTGTGTTAACATTGGCCACAGAACCATTTTTCCACAATCTTTTTTTTTTTCATTGATGATAACTGGGCGGGCCAGTTAGCGCAGTTGGTTAGAACATGGTGTTGATAACACCAAGGTCAAAGGTTCAGATCCCCTTACTGGCCAGCCACCAAGAAAAAAATAGGTGACAATGATGGTAATTGGTATTTACTAAGTACTTACCACCTGTTGAGTGCTATACTAAGTGCTTTCTGTGAATTAATTCATTTAATCCCCAACACAAATCTACAGGTAGATACTATTATCATCCCTATTTTACAGATTAGGAAATGGAGACACAGAAATGTTAAATAACTTGCCCAAAGTCACACAAAGTCACAAAGCTAGAAAGAGGAGGCAGGATCAGAACCCAAGCAATCAGCCTCTGAGCCTGCACTTCTAACCTACACTATGATGCCGCCTCTGTCTTTTGACAGTTCTAACAAGTTTGGTTTAGTTGATATCGGTATAGTGTTACTCAGTGTGATATTTATGATTGTTACATAGTCACTGATGACTGTACCTTTTGTCAATATAACAGCTCCTCTTGGTCCAGTTCAATGCCCTTTGCCTTGCATTCTACTTAGCATGATATTCATTACAGCCACGCTTGCTTTATTACCTTTTATTAGTACCTTTGATCATCCTTTTATTTTTAAAAATGGCTGGACCATTTTTGACAGTGACTTATACTGTAATCTGTGTAGCATTCCTCTTCTTTTCTAAGAGAACACCAATCTTTTTTCAGAACAACTTCCTCGTTCCTAGTTCTTAACTATGATTTATCTCTTTTGTTGGCGGGAATAATTCTTTGAATCCCCACACAGTCGAGGCACCTTCCCAGGTTTTTGGATGGTGAACCCTTTCTGCGGTAAGCACTTAGGGGAGGTAGGGGGCCAAGTCTTCTCCCTGCTTTCTTCCTGGGCAGATCTCCTGCTCCTTTCAGGGGGTAAAGTAGACAAAGATTATCCCTTGTCGCTCTTAGTCCATCTTCATCTATTCATTTGAGAAAAAATTTTCCCACCTCTTGCAAAAGTTTAATTATTATCCTTAATTTTCAGCACTATTAAAATGTTTGTATTTTTCTTCATGGGTCCTCAGATTCAATGGGAAGTTGGAAGACAAAATATAAGGAAATTTGCATCACGTGGAAATCTATACCTCATTTATTGCTTTAACTTCACTTTGAATATTTTCCCATATATTTATTTACCAGTTACAACCTCCCCTTTTGGATGAAGGGTTTATGGTATTTGACTATTTATCAATATTGTCTTTTTTATCAGTTTTATCAGGAACTTTATGTAAAAATGATATATCATATTTCCTGCAACTACAGTTGTTTTTTCCTATGTATTGTGGTTGTAAGATTTTTTGTTATACTTACAAAAATTAAAATGTTGTACAGATTGAATCAGTTGGCATTTTTCTTTGCAGTCAGTTTTAATTTTAGAAATCTATCCCCTTCTAGAGATTCAATTATTTAATTGTATTTTCTTTTGCTTTTTTCACAAAAGAAATTCTAATTCATCTGGGATATCCTAATTTTTAAGAATTAGTACACCGGAGGTAGAGAGTTCAAATCCCACCTTGGCCATGTATTAGCTGTTTAGTCTTGGGAACCCCAATTTTCAATCTCTTCATCCATAAACCAGGAGCAATGCTAATAACAGTGCAAACTTCATGAAATAGGATTATTGCAAAGATTAAATGATGACTTTATTCTTTCATTTGTTCAAAAATATGTATTTAGCACCTACTATGGATCAGGAAGAAATCTAGGGGCTATGGATTCAGCTGTAATAAAGATAAAGATCCCTGCCCTCACAAAGCTGACATTCTAGTGCCAGTAGATGTGCTTACAAAAAGGTGTGGCTGGCAAATAGATGGCACATAATGCATGAGAGCTATCACCATAATTAGTGAATTGAGTTGGCCAGGGGAGGTGGGAGAAACCAAATTTATTTTTCCTACGTCATTAACCATCATCCTTGCCTTTTAGCAATTATTGAATTTTAAACTTCCAAGATTTAGCTAAGCCATTCCAATGGCTTAGATATTTGTACAATATTTTCTAAGGTATGGTTTGTGAGTATCGAAACTTATTGGGTTTTTAAAATTTTTTTAATTTATTTTTTTATTAATTTTTTTTTTTTACATTCTATGATGTTGTTGCGGAGCAGTTGGGAGAGAGGGGGAGAGGGGAAAAAAGAAGGAAATGGGATGGAAGAAGGAGGAAGGAGGAGGGGCTGGATTGAGGCCTGTGGCACCCCCCACATTCCCACAGGGGAGACTGGGGGGCTTCCAGTGGTGGTTTGGTCATTGCTGGGCTGGGTACAGATGTCAGAGGGGTGCAGCAAAAGCCCTCGCCCCCTACCACCCAGCTCAGGAACCCAGGGCCCTTCTTTTGTGGCTGGGTGGTTGTTGCTGGGCTGGTTGCGTGTGTAACTTACTGTTTTTTATTTAAAGTAAAACTAAACAAACAAGCAAGAAAATAACAACAACAAATGCAGATTCAATGTGTACGCATGCACAAAACGTCCTCTCCCCTGACCCTTCCTCCCTCCAGGCTACACATGGGCTTCCAAGACACCATGTGTACTGAGTAGTTGGCAGAGGTTTGCACAGCTTGGCTACTAGAGGGCTCTGAAGAAGACAGTGCCCATTCCATTTTTCTGATTCTGAAGCCCAAATTCTGATTTCAAGAGAAATGAGCTATGAGGTTCAGCATCTTGCTAACCCAAAAACTTAATGAATAAAATACAGGACAAACCAGTATGTTCCAATCCACCTGGTACTCCTTAGTTGCACAATAGAAAATTTCTAGTATCTTCACTAC